GAAAAAATAATAAACGAGGAAGAGGTGGAATTGTTAATTAATTATTAATTATTCATTAAGTCAATATCTAGCAAGTATCTTTACCATATGCTAGTGTAAGGACAAATAACAATGAAAAATAAGAGGCTCAATTCTCTCCCTGCTGTTGGGAGCTGGGTGCAAAAGGTGAATTTTGAAAGGAATTGAGAAGTACGAATTGCAGTTACAAAACAGTCACAGGGATGGAAGGGACAGCAAAGGGAAGACAGTCAATAATATTGCAATGACTATGTATGGTGCCAGGTGGGGACTAGAGTTATGGGGGTGGATCATTTCGTAAGTTATGTAGATGTCTAACCACTATGCTGAATGTCAACTATACTTGAAAAATTAGGGTCCAATTAATCTTAACTAAAGTACAGTGAAATTTTTAAAAATAAAAAGTGCTCTGGCCAATGTGACTCAGTCAGTTGGAGCACTGTCCCGTGTACCAAAAGGTGACAGGTTCAAATCCCAGTCATGGCACATACCCAGGTTTTAGGTTTGATCCCTGGTCAAGGCATGTATGGCAACAGATCGATGTTTCTCACATCGATGTTTCTCTCTCTCTCTCTCTTCCTTTCTCTAAGGTCAATAAAAAAACACATCCTCATATGAGGATTTAAAAATATATTTTAAGTAACAATTTATATGAAAAAAAGTCTCCCTATTGAAAAAAAGGAAGATATTCCTCTTGCTTCCTTTTTCTTAGAATGTTTATCTTAGAGGACTTGTAGTTGTACATACTCTCTCATTTCTTTCAAATGTGATTATACATCCTTTTGAAAATGTGATTGGTTTCGTCTGTCAGCTTCATGACCCAGGACCGTCCTTCTCAGGGACCTGGGAGCTATCCCTTGAAATGTCAACATCAAAAGACAGCTCCCACCCCGACCCATCTCCCAGCTTCTGTGAGAGGGTAGGAGCCTGACTTGGGCGGGTGCATGGCTCTGAGCGGCAAAACTACCTCTGATCATAAAGGTACGAGAAGTATATTTCTTCTCTGGGTGAAGCCAATTAGCTAAGACCAGAGGTGACCCCAATCTTGTAATGAAGTCAGGGTGAACTGTCAGGTTTTCTTACTCAAAGACGAGGTGTTCATCTTGAGAACACGTGTGTAAGGGGTGGCTCCATAAAGGGGGAGACTTTTCTCCTGTCTCCACGGTCTCTTAGGCAAGGCACAGCCCATTCTGGTTGAGTGCTTGTTCATAGTAAAAATGTTTCTCTCTCGACTCTTTGTGGAGAGGTTTTCTTGGATTGGAGAAGAGTTGGTTTTTCATTACATTTCCCCAGCACGAGGCACTGTGCTGGATTGTGCGGAGGTAAAAAGGGTTAAGATATAATCTCTGTACAACTGGATTATTGTTCCATGACAGAATGGAAGAAAAGTTATGGGAAGCCCAAGAATTGGACCATTTAAGCTGAGTCTTAAAGGCTCGACAACGATACAGATGGGAATTGGGGCGGGGTGGGGTTGAAGCCAAAGGTACTGAGGATCTGAGCGTGGGGCGCTCTGCTGGGGCCAAGGCTAGGCGAGAGGGTATGAGGGAATATACTCGAAACAGAAGCCCATGAGGATGGGGGGCGGTGGAAGAGGCCAGCGTATCCCCAGAACATTCAGGAAAGTCTGGTCTAGTCTGAGCCCAGGGCTCCGGTAAGGACACAGAGAGCCAAGACCAAGAAGGCAGAAGGGCAGGCAGAGTCGTTCTCAAATGCCATGCTAGGGAGCTATGAGGAGAAATTGTAAATGACTTTAAAATAGTCCAAAAAAAGGTTACTGGCATCCTACCTAGTACACCCTTCCACTGTCTGAGCTAACTTTCGGCTCTGTGAGTTGTGACAGACTGGCAGCACCCCCATGCTTCTTGCTCCTGGACGTGGGATTGTGTCTGGAAGAGGTGCCCTGGATGACCCCCTGCGGATGGGGACCAATGTTCCGCTCATCCGTAATCGCCGCAGCATTTCTGGAGGCGTGCGGTCCGCGCCGTGGCTGAGGCTGTGCTCCGTCCTTCTCCCTGCTGCACGCTGTGACCACGCTCCATCAGCGCCCGCCGGGGGCTGTCCGAGGCCACCGCGAGCAACGCTGCCGTCATTTGTGTGGGCGCATCTCCACCTCCTACAACGTGGGTACATTTCTAAAACACAGACCGAAAGGCAGGCTGCGGTCCGAACCCACACACATGCAGGGCAGAGGCGGCCAAGAGGCCCAGGTCCCCCTGGTACTCCGTATTGATTAGAGGTGCACCTCTGGGTGGTAAAAGTATGAGAAGCATGGAAGTAATGACCATAAAGTCAGGATTGTGGTGACCTCCCTGTGGGGAGAGGGTGGCGGTCAGCAAGGGACTGAGGGAGGCTGCTGGGGGCTGGCCCGGTTCTCTCCCATTGCTTGGAGATCAATTTGTAATTATTTGTTAACTTGCACACTGCTCTTGGGCTGTGTTTCACAATAAACAGAGGTTTAAGGAAAAGGCCAAACAGAGAAGATGCTTAGAGATGGGGTGTAGGTTTTCTTCCCACTGAGATTCACAATCGCAGACACTGCCCCGCGGCCAGACCCAGAGATGAGGCGGCTGTAGCAGCCCTGTGTCCGGAGGGCCTGAGAAGACTTCCAGCCTTGGGAGGTCAGCACGTTCTGACCCGCACCGGGCAGGCAGGATCAGGCTCCACTGGAGGCCTCAGGCTCCCCTGGGTGCTCCCAGGTGACTCGGTGACGCGAGACAGCGCACGTCCTTGGGATCTCCCGAGTTTGCTGCTGGGCGTCGGAACAAGTCCTCGGAAAAGTCAGCCAAGACCTGGCCTGTGCCACCTGTTATGGGACAGCAGGTGTTCCCCTCCCTGCCGAGCCCGTGCAGGTGCTGGTTCTGAACATCATGAAGGGGGAACGTTTGAGCCTGATGAAGACAGGGGTGGCTTAGGACTCCGTTGCAGGTAAGATGGGCTGGGGAGGGACAGCTGAATGTCCCAGATCTTGGGAAGGCTGTTCTTTGAGGCCAGGATCTCTGGCTCTGCTGCCCTCCCGAAGCGTGGCCAGGGTGGGATGGGGTGCCTCCAAGGAGGTGAGGGTACGGGTGGGGGTGGTGAAGGAAGGTGGTCCTCATTTGGGTCAGCTCTGGCATGTCCCTGCCTCTCCTGCCCCTCACAACTTCATTTGAAAGTAGCCAGTGATCTTGAAGTACACAAACTTTCTGAGCCTCAGTTTCCCATCATGACAACATATATTGTTTCTTGAGCACCGAATATGGGCCAGGAAGTGTGGTCAGAACTTTATATACCACACCTGAATCCTCTCAGAAACAACATGGACCCATTGCCGGCATCAGTGATTATCAACTCACAGCTGATCTCTATTTTAAAAGCAGGGCGCGCCCTGGCCGGCGTGGCTCAGTTGCTTGGACAGCATCTTGCACTGTTCAATCCCGATCAAGGCACATGCCCAGATGCAGGCTTGATCCCCAATTGGGGGCCTGCAGAAGGCAACCAATGGATGTTTTTTTCTCTCTCTCCCTCCCTCTCTCTTCTTCTCTCTCTAAAAATCGATGAAAAATCTTAGAAAAATAAAATAAAAGCAGGACTTGAGGCTTAGCAAGGTCAAGTGCAGAGCCAGGGCTTCATTCCAAAGCCACGCTGTCTCTCTGCCACATCTGTGAAGTGGGGAGAGTGACAGTAGTCGAGTGGGGTGTTGGGGGCTCTGGCTGGCATGTGGCTGATGCACAGGGGGTGCTCCCTTCCCAAGGGCATGGGAAAGAGCCAGGTATGCCTGAGAGCTAGGAGGGATCTAACTGCCTGCTCACAGTTGCTCCCTAAAGACGGATTCCAAAGACACAAGCCTTCTGAGCCTGACTGTCCTCACAATGATTATAACAATGTGCATCAATACTGAACTTCAAATTTGTGTCAGCAGTTTATGTATTAAAACTGTTTTCATTAGAAATGCAATAGGTGCCCTGGCTGGTTTGGCTCAGCGGTTAGAGCGTCGGCCTGCGGTCCGGAGAGACCCGGGTTCAGTTCCCGCTAAGGGCACGTACCTCGGTTGCAGTTTGTCCCCGTTCCTGGTTGATCGTGCGGGTGGCAACCACTCGATGTGTCCCTTTCACATCGATGTTTCTCTTCCTCTCTCCCTCCCACTCTATCTGAACAAAAAATAGAAAAATGTCCTTGGGTGAGAATAAAAAAAAGAGAGAGAGAAAGGCAATAGGTGCTCTTTATAAAAATGTAGGTGCATAAAAAAGCATGGAAATAAAAGGAAAAAACAAAACAAAACTATCTACAATTTAACTTCCCAGATTCAACCACAGCTAGCATTTAACTTTTTCCATCCAATCTTCATGCAGAGTTTTATATTCATATATTCATATTAAGTATATTTATATTTGTATTTAAAATGCAGGTACTATTTTTATTATAAAAATTTACTTTTATTATACAAATTTCAAGCCTACACAAAGGCAGAGAGAACCCCCATGCCCTCATCACCCAGCTTCAACAATGAGCATCTCACGGTCGATATTCCCCCTACTGCCCACTTCATGTCGTGCTGGATTGTTTAAAAATAAATCCAGACATCGTAGCGTTTCACCAAAACACAGGTAAGTGTGAGTCTCTGATAGAATAGGAACTCCTTTTAAAAAAAAATGTTAATACTATTTCTCATCTTAAAAGGTGTTAACAAAAATTCTACAATATCATTCAGATGCACTTTTAAGTGATGCTTTTCTTAGTTAATGTCAAATCATGAGCATTTCTCCATGCCTTCACTAATGCTTCTGATCATATTCTATCATGTTAGCAATATCATAAATGATCTGATCAATCACTGTCCCCCACTCCTCAAGCCCCTTGGACATTTAGACTGGACCACCCTCAGACAAACAGGCTCCCTTGTTGGCATGTGAAGAAAACCAGCATCATTACTCCATTCTGACCTCTGACCACAGTGCCCCACCCACATGCCAACAGGTGCTGACCGAGTCCTCTGCTCCTACCTGGGCTGGGCTTGGGAAAGGATCCTCTGGACGTACCAATCAGTCACCCTGTCCCACGCAGACGCTGTCCCAGCGCATTTCCCTCTCCCTCTCTCTGAGAGTATCTTTATTTGCAAAGTTAGCCAATAGTGTCTGGTTTCCTGTGAGGTAAGTTATCTTTAGATGCTGCTGCAGATACACTCAGAAGCTCTAGACTGGAGGCCAGCTGACGACAGAAGGATCTGAACTCACAGATGTGGAAGACAGGAGCCTGGGGCAGATAAAGAGGGGGCTGGAGGGAGTGATGACTTGGGGGCTGTGATTTTTACCCAAACATGGGAACAGTGCAACCCTCTGTAATGGCGCTCCTTCAGGCAAGCCGAGAAAACCCACGAAGCTTGTTTTCCTGCCCCTGAAAGGGAGCCGTGACACTCACTGGCCAGCATTGGGGTGCAGATTAAGTGAGCTACAGCTTTCCTCCTCGCAGTGTGGTCCCAGCGGGGAGCTTATTAGAAACGCAGCGCCTCAGCCCCACCCTGACCTCCTGAACCTGACCCTGCACTTTAAGGACCGGCTTCAGAGACTGGTAAAAGCACTGGGTTTTAGAAGCCTGGGCACAGAAAGCACCCAGTGAGCGCCTGGCACTTACCACGTGTGTTTTTCCGCAGCTCCTTCCTTCCAGGCATTTCGTGGCTCCCTATGCCTCTGTCAAGTTAACCCAAGTCACACATGTGATGAGCCAACTGGCCAGGCTCCTTTTCCCCTGACCTCACCGCCGCCGCTGCTCAGGCGGATGGGTGCCAGCTGGGACCGACCCCTCCGGGGCACAGTCCTGCACCCTGCCCCAGCCAACTGGCTCTGAGGAGCACGCAGGTCTCGAGCACCAGGGCCTCACTGTCTTCCCATCACATCCTCACCTGCCTGAGTCCTGTTCAAGGCCAATAGTACTGGTCTGTCCCTGCCCACAGCCTCCCCTGGCTCCTCCCTGCCCCCCGGGAAGGCTGCACCCCAGCACTGCCTCAGCTCTGGCTGCCGCGGCCTCCTGAGGTCAGGGGCGTCCTGTGTGCTCGCTGCCAGGCCTCCTCCTCAGTCGTCATCGTCTGGCCAGGACAGAGCCACGGGCTGGGCCTGCAGTGCCACAGGCTCGGCGACCTGCTGGCATTTGGGGAAACCCACCACCCGTTTCCTTTCTTTGACTGTCGCCGGTCTCCGTGCCAGGCCCTCTCTCCCTGCCTTGACTCCCCTCCCGCTTCCCGAGTGCTCAGTTTTGGGATTTGGCCAACACCCTTTCTCTCCTCTGGTCACTTACTCTCCCAGGACAATCTCATCTACTCCATGTCAGTGACCACCTCTGTGGTCTGTTTACCTCGTCTCCGTGTCCAGCAGGGCCTGTGTGACCTCCGATGCCCGTGTATGTCCTCCACACCTCTCATCATTGACCCCATTGACCGTTCTCCACCCTGAAGCCAGAGAGCTCTTTCTAGACCCCAGACTGCTGACTTAAAACCTCCAAGGGTTCTGCCCCGGCTTGTGAGCATGGCCTTGGCAGGATCCGACCCTTGGAACTTCCTGCTCTGCTCTGAGCGCCCCAGCTCCTCCGGCCTGTGTCTCTCTTCCTACCTCCCCGGGCTGGTGGGCCTGGGAATCAATTTCGCGCTCCTTTGAAGCTAACAAGGAAGGCTTTGCGATTCAGATGCTTGCAGAAGACGGGACTTGATGACTCATGGCCCGGCCAGCCGCCTGTCTGTGTCAGTTCCCTTTTCTCCCAGATCCCACAGGGCGACACGGTGGGCCCACAAGCACACCTGCACATGAAGGAGGTGGAAGATGAGAGAGGAACTTGGAGCTTGGGGAACATGGCATTTTATACCAAGCAGTGGACAAGCCGGTCTTTGGCGCTGAGGGAGACAACACCTCAACCCTCAGACTGCAAACAGCACCCTGAGAAATGGCCAAGCGAAGGGCGGCTGGGGCTTTGCACACTCGGCCAGACGGGAGAGCCTCGCAGCCAGGCTCCTGCCGCGCCTCCTCGGCCTCCTCGAGGGGTCTCTGGCTCTGCCCTGGGGACTTTTCCTCCCTGGACCCCGCTTACCCCTCCCCAGTCCTCTCACTCTGGGTGCAGCCCAGTTTTCACCCCTCATTTCCCCAGCCCCTCTGACCTCACTCTTTGTCTGAGCTGTTCCTTGCAAAGGGTGGCAGAACATGCCACCCCCCAAATATGTCACTTTGGCATACTGATGATGAAGCTGTAGGCACTTCAAAATCAGCAACTGCAGGGGGGCTTTCTCTGAACTCCTCTTATCTGCCTAAAGGCAGATCCTCTAAAAGGAACTCAAATGTCATAAATCCCCTCCCAGGGAGTTTCATCAACCAGGAAGACTGACTCTTGTCACTGGAGAGACCACACCCAGGCAACTTTGTCACAAACGATCAAACCTCCCATCTGTTCTTCTAAGGGCCCATCCATCTTCCCTAAAAATCATTTTCTCTCACCCTGCCCTTTCCCCATTAAGCTGGTATGTAAACCTGAATTCTAAGCCACCTCAGGGAGTTACTCATTTTTCCCTGGGTGTCTCCTATGTATATATGAGGTATCAATGTTAATAAGCTTCTGTTTTTCTCTTTTTAGTCTCTTTTATTATGAGGTCTCAACCAAGAAGAACTAATAAGAGAGAAAATGATTTTTCCTCCCCGACGGTTCCTGGCGACTAAGGTGGGACCCCTGAGACACCTCACTTGCTTGGAGCCTGCAGATGAAATTCTGGGAAAACTGGCAAAAACCAGTGAAGGTAAATAACTATTTTTCCTCCCTTCACTTGTTTACAAACTCCTTACCATCCTCAATTTCTCTTCCCACAGAAACAGTAACTGCCAACGAAGGCCTGGTTGCTGTTGGGTGGATGAGGATGTGTTGGGCTGGTTGGGAGGCAGAAGCCATGGTGAGAGGCTGTGAGGACAGTGGGACCAGCCTGGCATGATGGGCACAGACCTACAGGGCAGGTGAAGACTGGAGACTTGGTTTGGATAAAGCTTTATGAGAGAGACACAACAAAGGGAAGTAAGGATGTGATTATGCCTTGAGTGCCATGCTAAGATATTCCCACTGTATGCTGCAGGCCATGGGGCGCTTGGGGGTAACCATAGCAAGCTTTTATGCAGCATGGCTATGTGACAGGCAAGGTTCTAAGTTCTCAGTGCACATGAACTCATATCACCCGATGACCCCAGAAGCAGGTAACATTACTATCCTCATTTTAAAGGTGAGGAGAGGTTATATAACTGCTCAAGGTCATACAGCTCATATCATGGCAGAGCCAGGATTTGACTTTAGCATTTAGGATTCAAGGTCTATGCCACACATTCTCGGTGGGGGTGACATTGCCTGCAAGAAGGATAAAAATTGGTTCTTGTGCTTTACACCTAACATTAACAGATAGACAGCACACCCATGTTGTTGAAATGTCATAAGAGGCGACTAAGAATGTAATGTCTAAAGAGACTTAATGAGCCTGGCTGGTTTGGCTCAGCAGTTGGAGCATCAGTCTTCAGACCAAGGTGTTGTAGGTTTGATTTTGGTCGAGGGCACATACCTGGGTTGCATTAAGGGAAAGACTAACAGACGGCCTATAGGCAGAGATGGATCTCTGGGTGATTTGAGTCTTTGCCTGACCTGCTCCTGGTCCAGAGCTAGTAAAAGCCGACCTTGGTGCATAGCTTGGACCTTTCCACATGCACCCAGACCCAGCAGAGGGAGCCACAAGCTGTAAATTGCTGATAGCTCCAAACAGGTTGTTCAGGACCAGTCACAAACAGTGTCTGACATTGGCCTGCACCAGAGTCCTTCCAAAGAGGCCCAGAACCAGTGGCCAGCTTCAGACAACAGTAGAGCAGGATTTGGTGGCCAGCTTCAGACAACAGAGCAGGATTCAGTAAGCTTCACAAGCAGTATATCCACAGGGAGTTATTGGCAGGCTCCAAACCCTGCTGAGGAGAATTCTGCTTCGTGTGGTCAGCACCTGCACAGCAGCCTTCTTGCTGTGTTGGGGGTTAAGCCTCACTGTCAGCCAGCCCAAACAAGCCAATAGCAATCAAGACTCAATTCCACACAATGCACACAAGGAACATTCTTAGAGCACCCAGTTCTGGTCATCAGGGAGAATGTGCCACTGGGTCCCACAGGTCACCCAGTATATAAGGCCACTCTACCAAGACTAGGAGTCATAGCAGATCTACCTAATACATAGAAACAAACCCAAACAGGCAACCAAAATAGGGAGGCAAAAAATACAGTCCTCAAACAAAGGAACAAGAGAATTCTCCAGAAGAAGAGCTAAATGAAGTAGAGGTAAGCAATTTATCAGATATAGAGTCCAGGGTAATGATTATAAAGGACGCTCAACAGCATGAAAAAGGATATAGAGACCATAAAAAAGGACAAGTCAGAAATGAAGTATGCCATATCTGAAAGAAGGAATACACTGGAAGGAATAAACAGCAGGCTCAATGAAGCAGAGGACTGAATTAGTGATTTGGAAGACAAGGTAGGAAAAAACACCCAATCAGAACAGCAAAAAGAAAAAAGACTTTAAAAAACTGAGGATAGTTTAAGAGATCTTTGGGACATTAAGAAGTGTAACAACACCTGTGCCTTAAGGGTACCAGAAGGGGAAGAGAGAGACAGCAAGGGATCAAGAAACTATTTGAAGAAATGATGTCTGAAAACTTTCTTAACTTGGTGAAGGAAAAAGACATACTAGTCCAGGAAGCACCAAGAGTCCCAAACAAGATGGACCTGGAGAGGTTCACACCAAGACACATCATAATTAAAAATGCCAAAAGTTAGCACTGGTCAGTTTTGCTCAGTGGTTAGAGTGTGGACCCGCATACCAAAGGGCTGCGAGTTCTATTCCAGTCAAGACCACATACCTGGGTTGCAGGTTTGATCCCAGGCCATGGTCAGGGTCATGTGGGAGACAACCAATCAATGTATCTCTCTCATATTGATTTTCCTCTCTCTCTCTCTCTCTGCCCCCCCGCCCCCGCCTTTGTCTCTCTCCCTCCCCCCCTTCCATTTTCTCTAAAAAAATTAATGAAAAAATAGACTTGTCGCCCTGGCCAGTTTGGCTCAGCGGTAAGAGGGTCCGCCTGCGGTCCGGAGAGACCGGGGTTCGGTTCC